TGCGGAGGGCCTTCGATGAGTCAGATGCTGTATTAGTCACTGGGGATTAAGCAGGGGCAAAACAGAAAAATCCCTGCTGTCATAGGACTCTCCTTCGGTGACAGCTCTGTGCTGTCATTTCACCCGGAGGTGGGTGCTTTGGAGGAAGACAGGGAAGGGTGAGGGGAAGGGGAGAGCCACGTCAGTGGTGCTGGTCAGGCCCCGTGGAGGAGGCGACACCTGAGCACCGCCAGCTTTGCACCCACGGGCTGGAGAAGCCTGGAGCAAACGGGTTACTGGTAAGCTCTGAGGAGGGCAATTTCTGGGTCAAAAAACAGAATCACGTTAAGGCTTTTGATAATACTGCTAAGTTATCCAGAGAGTTTCCTAGGTGGCCTTCTCAAAGGAGAAATGCTATGTGTTTTAGGAGTACTTCGGAGAGTTTAAAGAGTATGTGTGCGTATGTGGTGGGGCAATGCCTCCTTGCTCAAATGCCATCTCAGAAGGCACAGTTCAAGTCCATTGCTTCCCATTCACGCCAGCCCGAAGATTTTAGGAGCTAAACATCCTAGCAGCTGAAAACACCAGTCGGAAAGACCCGCGTTTCTAACCCAGCTCTGCCACTCATCTGCTCTGGTGCAACTTTGAACAACTTTGCCTACAGCTATGTGAGCCTCGGTTTTCTCATCTATAAAATGGGCTTTCTAAAATGCTTAGCTCAGAGGGTTGTGTGAGGGTTAAACAAAGTGATCCAAATGAGGCGCTCTGCAGAGCACCCAGCACAGAGTAAGTGGCCGTGCTATTCATTCTGCAAAGTCAGCTCCTGACCTGGGGGTCAGGAGCAGCCCCAAGCACAGGGCAGTGTGCTCCCTCACGGACACAGAGATAGTGTGGGCCTGCTCTGCACCTGCTTCCAGCTATCAGGTCAATCGTTGAAGTTCAAATGTTGTCCACTAAGGTTTTCTATCTGGCTAAGATTTTTCTACCCAGGTATGAGCTAACCCAACCTTAAAAGACCCCCGAATGATGTATATATCCGTGTCTGTGTGTGCATGTATGATTTTTTTTCTCCTAGAAAGGAACAAGGATTTTTCCACACACCCCTTAGCAAAACCAGCTGAACCGAGTTAACTCAAACTTCTCAAAAACAATTCACCTCTGCACTTAGACCAGAAATGGAATGTTTCAACCCTAAACTATCCTTGTGGGGGTGTGTGTCTGAAAACCCACAAATGATTTGAAACAGGGTCAGAGTGAAATCATCATGAGCCTGAGCACATTTCAGCCACCAGACGTGGCAAGTTTTCATTGTTTACTTGCATCTGTTTGTGGTTTTTTTTTAAACCCAAAATGCAGATACAGCCATTATTCCACTTGGAACTCAGACATGAAATGTTCTGCCTCTGCTCTCCTCACATACTTTGTATTGTAACATCAACTTCTCACACCTGCTCGTGTCTCTAATTGTCCCAAGGTCCCTGGACTCAGCAATCACACTTCAGCACTTCCTTAAACTTAACACTGAAAGATGTGCTGCTCCCTCATCCTCCCCCCCCACCCCTCCCTACCTCAGGGTGAGGTGTCCACGGCAGGAAACCCTAATCTGGAAAACCCTCTGAGCCTGAGCTGTCGAGCACCCGCTCCCAAATGCTGATCTGTGAACAAGTTTTCACTCATCCCTAGTGGGGTAAGATAAACAAGAATGATACAGAGAGGTTTTTGTAACACCAAATGTATTCCACGTTTAACTCGTAAATCATGTCCTTGTTACTTTTTGTTTTCAAATATTCTTTTATGAAATTTAGTGAAAATAGATGGAGGTTAGTTGTGGTTTGTTTTTTTTTTTATACTGTCCTACTTGGCAAAATAAAAAGTTGGCAAACTTAGGCTCATCTCATACATTTTGAGATCTTCCTAGTCTACAGGCTACACAAGTCTAGGAATCACCTGGAAAAGGAGCCAGCCTAGGGCAGGAACTGAGGGAGATGTGCGTGAACCGGATACCTGCTCCGTGCTAGGCTCATGCAAGCCATTTCCTCCCACCCTTGCGACCACACTGTGGCGTGGGTGACAGTATTTTCATGTGATGACTCAGGAAAGTGAGGCTTCTTGCGGGTTAAGTGACTTGCCCAAGGCCACTCAGCTAGGAAGGGGGAGGGAGAAAGCTGGGATTTGAACGCAGGCTGCATCCAGCAACGTCTGTTCCTGCCTTCCCTCGCGCAATGGTAGATTCAGAAAAACATCTAAAATCGACGTGAAGAGTCTTATTCAGAAGACTCTGCAAACAAATACATTCATACATCAAAAACAAACCCTTCCATCCACTAACACACACACACACAGAGAGAGAGAGAGAGAGAGAGAGAGATGGACTACAGTATTTCATGGTCGATGCACTTTCAATAAACACAAGGGCTGAAATTAAGAAAGTGTTAAGTGCTGACCGGTCAGGGACAAGCTGATTCATAACGCGAAGGGGCAGGGGCGGGTTCTGAGCACATTAACCGCCCTCTTCGGACGTCCAGTCCTCAGAACAGGAACCGGACGCAGCAGCGGCTTCCTCATTACCAGACAAACGTAAAGAAAGTGACAGTCTAGGAAAAAACAAGAGTGATTAGGGGATGGAAGAAGCCATGAGTAAAGATGAAGAAATAATTATACAGCTTAGCTAACTCATAAATCAAGGACGATCATTCCATCTACAAGCACCAGCAAGGTGAAAAGAACCAAAGCGAAAGGTCGGCTCTTTAGTGTACATTTAAAAAAGGAAACAATGGCCGGAATTCAGAGAGTGTTAAAAGCCCCAAGTCAGGGACAAGAGGAGTCACTGTGAAAAATCACCTCCCCAGGGGAACTGGCCAGAACCCCAGGGGGTTAGAGACGCGAGCAGATTGGACAGAGGTGCGGTCAGAAGAGGCGCGGTGGGGAGCAGCCCCCTCTGGGCCCTGCAGGACGATGATCGCCCACCTGCGTTTGTTCCCCTACTTCTTTTACACCTTCTCTCCCTCCTCCTCCACCTCAGGAAGATAGGATGATAAATCCAGGAGGAAAACAGAGTCAACAAATATTGCGAGGTGTCATAACATTAGCCTGGCTGGGTTTGATTGGGGGCCCTGACAGAAGAGCACTAATTATCTCCGAGAAAGCAGTCCCATTCCAGAATGATCCTGGGGACGGACGGAGCAGGCCCTCGCAGCTTTCCCCTGGAGCCCTGCCGGGGATCAGGTGACCCAGGCTTATTTATCCAAAACCAGCTGTCACAGGATTAACTGCTAGCTCGAGAGGGGTTCCCCATCACTTCAGGCGGAGGAAGGTGAGATTTGGGCAGAGTGTCAGCCTCCATCAGCCTCTGGAATCTTCTGCCTTTTTTTTTTTAGAAACCCCTAAAAATGCCTTAGAAATGCCTGGGCCCTGGTTCCCAGAAGAGTATAGAAGACCAAGGTTTTTGTCTGCTTCCCACTGGGATCAAACCGTTTGGGCCAACCTGTGAAGAAGAGATGCTTGTCCTGAAAAGCCTCACTGAGGAAAGCAGGACAGGTGGCACAGGAGGTCAAAGGTTGAAATGTGGATTCCGAGGAGAGTCTGGAGCTTGGAGATGTGAAGGGAGCAGGTGAAGGGTAGCTCCTTCTTGTGAATACACAGAACCCAGGGCAGGAGAGGAAATGGACCAAAAGCAACAGAGATGGAAAAACCTAGAAACCTGGTCAAGCTTGTATTACAAGGACCTCATTTCAAGTTTCTTGCATTGTCCTGCAAATCACTGGTATTCCACAAAGGTTTATCATCACAGTGCAACTAAATAAACATAAAACCAATGGGAAGATAGAAAGGCTCAAAGAATCACAGGAGTTAACTAAGGCACAAGGTGTATGTGATAAGCATACTGAGGGCAGGGAAACTGACTACAGATCCTAGAGAATGTTCTCCCCATGCAGCTCTAAGCATTTAAAGGATAAACGATGCCAGCTAAAAAGTCAGGCATTTTAAAATAGTGACATCCCTCATAAGGAGCAGTTCCATCTTTTTTTCAATTTCTCTCCTTGGTCTCTTTGTGATTTTTTTTCTCCCTCATAAAATGGGCAGTCCAAGTTTTTAATCTGACCTGCTTCTCAGAATGGCCTGTTGGCTTTAAATGAGCTAAAGGGAAGTAACAGAATACCCTAGTTTGGAACATCATGTCCAGGCATCGATTACGTGGCCAGCCGGCCCGAGGGGCAAGTGGTTGCGCCCTGGGCTCTTCATCTCAGGGACCACCTTTGCGTGGCTGCATTCATTCGCCAAACCAGCAGTCACCAAGTACGAATGGTAGGCAAGGCACAGAGCTGGCCTCTGTGGGAGAAACAAAAACACACGGGATGCAAGAAACGGAGGTCCTTGAGGACAGGAGGGGTGTAGTGTTTGTCTGGGTTTTTTTTTTTCTATCCCTCCATAACTACCCCTAGGAAGAGGGACACTGCAAGCTACCATGAGTCATTTACTAGTTAGTATAAATGAAGGCTCAGAAATGAAGTTAGTGTAAGGGTTGAGGGACAGAGAGAGAGAGAGAAAGAGCAAGAAGACACAGGTCTGTAGGAGGGAGCACCATCCAGGGTACAGAGGGGAGGGCCATCCTGGGAAGACCAGAGGAACCGAAGACAAGCCATATAACTTCGTTAACTAATGAAACACGTACACACGTGCACACACACACAGAGGATAAAACTGGCAAGGCCCCTCACTGGAACCGGGGATAAAAGATATAAGCCCAAACCCACAGGGTTACTGTGTGCATTCAAGAGCATGGGAGGCAGACAATTGTGAACAAGGATCTGTAAAACCATGTGACAGTTGTTACAATAAAGTTAAAGAAAGGGATAATGGGTGCAATTTTTAAATGAACCATGGATTAGATAATGGATCTGTACCCAAGTTAAAAATCCTGACTTTGACAATTGTACTGCAGCCCTGTAAAAGAGTGTCCTGATCTTGGAAAATATGCACTGGAGTATTTCCGGGTTAAAACAATTGTTTTAAAGGCACATACATATACAACATCTGAAGAGCATAGAGGATGGAAGACTGACCCTAAGGGGGTGAGGAAGAGAAGGGGGAGAGCGGAAAGAGGCTTCACCAAGGATTTGACAACTGAGTACGGTGTGAAAGACTAAGGGGTTCACGGAAAGAAGGGTTGGAGAGCAGGCATGCTGGGCAAAGGTCACGGCATGAGCAAAGGTCTGGCTCAGAAGCATGGAGCATGGCCCACTTGGAAACCGTAAGGAGTGAGGCCTACTTAGAGTTTCCAACATGTGAGGAGGAACGTGGATGAACAGACAGATGGGACAAGACTCCGAAGGGACTTGGCGCTAGTGCAGGGCAGGTTCTGAAATTGGAAAGTCAAAAGAAATTCCTTGTAGGCACAATTCGCATCTGCAAATCAACCACTCTCTGTCCTGTGAGACAGAGAATATGCATGTAATGTGTGCAAAAAAAGGCTCAAGACCATTTTGAAGAAACAGTTTTTAAAATCAGGTCAACTGAGCCAAGAAGAGCTCAGAATTGGGTTGGGTGAACTCGTTTCACAGAAGTTTATGAGCAACGACTCTGTAGGCATTGTGCCAGGCCCTAGGGAGAGAGAGACGAAATGATGTGGTTCCCAGCCTCAAGGTAGATCACAGGCTGATAATCAAGAAGAGCTTCTTAGACAAAGTAAGTTTTGAGTGGGAGAAAGGGGATGTGAATTAACAACCAGTCAGGTCTTCTTCCAGGCTACCGTTGACCTCTACCACTGGCCTCTACTGTGGTTGGTACTCAGGCATCAGTGCACGGATGCTAGGGATGGAAAGCCCATTTGGTAGCCTTCTAAACTGGATATGATTGACCTCTACCTAGCCACAGTGACGAATCTGTTGGAGGAATGTAAAAAAAAAATTTTTTTAAACTGGCCAAGAAAATTAGAGACTAATTTCATTCATGCACATAGATGCAAAAGTCCTAGAAATTGAGTTCAGCCACGTATAAAAAATACATGTTATGATCAAGCTAGGTCGATCCTAAGAATGCAAGAGTGATTTAACATTGGAAAAGCTATTAATGTATAAAGAAGAAAAACTGTATGATTATCTAAACAATTGTTGAAAAAAACATTTGCTAAAATTCAGCACCAATTCATAATGAAACTTCCTACCCGATAGAATTTTTTTTTTACCAAATAATTACAGCAAACATCATTCTTGAAACATCATTCTTCAAGGTGAAATGTTAGAAGCATCCCTTTAAAAATCAGGAACAAGACAAAAATGTCTGCAATTCTTCTTTCCAGCATTGTACTTGAGGTCCTATCCAGTACAATAAGAAAGGAAAAAGAAATTAAATGTATAAGTTTTGGAAAAGAAAAAAAACAAGACTGACATTATTATAGATAATATAGTTGTTTACTAGAAAACACAAAAGACTTTATAGATAAGTTACTGGAGTTAATTTTTTTAAAGCTTAACAAGGTGGGTGGATAATATGAACTGATTGCATTTCTAAACTCCAGCAATAAACAGTTAGAAAGCATAATTTCAAAAGATGCTAATTATAATAGCAACCAAAATTAAGGTACTTAGGAATAAATATGATGTAAGGTGTGGAAGACCTTTATAAAAAAATTAGCTTTATTGAAAGGCATTAGATAAGACTGAAGTAAATGGAGAAATGAACCATATTCATGAATAAAAAGTCATAACATGAAAATGATGTCAATTCTCTTTCAGTTGCTCTACTGAGTCAACTCAAGTCCTTATCTCAAGAGGGTTTTTCAAGTAACTTGACAAGCTAATTCTAAAACTTATATGGAAGTGTAGAGTCCTAACAGTAGTCAAGATATTCTTGAATAAAGAATAAGGTGTAGGGACATTTTCTACTATATATAAAACATAATATAAAGCCACAGTAAGGAATATAGTGTGGTATATATACAGGGACAGACAAATTCTCCAAGGGAATTGAACAAAATACTCCAAAGCAAACCTACCTGAAACCTTGGAAAACCTTATGGAAACTTGATTTATGACAGACATGGCACAGCAGACCACCAGAGAAAGGATAAATTATCCATTAAATGGTGCCCACAATTTATTGTTCATGTGGGGAGAGGGGGAAGAAGATGGATCCCTATCTCACACCATATCCAAAAATGAATTCTGTGTAATTTAAAAGCAAAACATACAAGGCAACGCTTTTAAGTTTTTAGAAGAAAATATAGAATTTCTTTATGAAATCAAGAAAGAGAAGGATTTCTTATACAAAGTAAAAAATGTACTAACCATAAAACAAAAGACTGACATATTAGACTATATTAAAAATAAGAACTTCTTTCATCAAAATATATCTTAAATGGGGCACCTGGGTGGCTCAGTTGATTAAGCGTCCAACTCTTGATTTCAGCTCAGGTCATGATCTCAGGGTCATGAGATCGAGCCCTGGATCGGGCTCTGCGTTGGGCATGGAGCCTGCTCAAGATTCTCTCTCTCCCTCTCCCTCTGCCCCTCCCCCCTAAAAAGAAGATATATATAGATATGTTAAATAAAGTGAGAAGGCAAGCCACAAAATGGGAGAGGATGTCTGTAATGCATTAACTGACCAATGAATATATAAGAAACTTTTCCTATAGCTATCTGCAAGCTCATTTCCTTGTCTCTTTCAGAACCTTTACTCAAATGTCATGTTTTTAATAAAATCTTCCCTGACCACTATTTTAAAAACTGCAAGTTCACCACCACTCCTGGCCCTGCCTATTGTCCTTTCCTGCCTTATTTTTAGCCGTAACACTTATCATTACCATACATACTATATATGTGACTAAATAATTTGATTGCCTGTCTCCCCTTCTCCCCAGCAGACTGAAAACTCTGAAATGAGACAAGGAATTTTGGTCTATTTTGTTCACTGCTGTGTTCCCAGCATATAGAAGAGAGCACATAGCAGGTGCTTAATAAATATGTGTTGACTAAACGAATACTTACAAACCAATAATAAAAATACCCACAACCCAATAGAAAAATCAGCAACAGGCTTAAACAAGGCATCTCAGAAAGAAAAGAAAAAAACCCACAACTTGTCAATAAACATGTAAAAAGATGCTTGAATTTATGAATAATCTGGGAAATGCAAATTAAGACCAAAATGAGATGCTATTTTGCGCTCACCAGATTGGCAAGCATTAAGAATCCTGACAATACTAAGTATCGACAGGATGAGGGGCACAGGAAACTCTTAATATACCTACTGGTGGGAGTGTGAATTATTTCCCTATTCGGAAAACAATTTGGGATTATCTTGTAAAGGTGAACATGTGCCTACCCTACCTGCCAGTTTCTCTGTTCCTAGATGCAGGCTACAGACTGGTGCCAGGAACTAAAGGATCTGTGATAAGCCCTCATGAGATGAGGACAAAAATTGAAACTCAGCATTTAGAAAATGCAATAGCAACTTGATGTTGCCAACTTTTATTTATGTTTCAGACATTTTTTATCATGGTAAAATAGACATAACAAGAAAGTTGACCATTTAGGAGCACCTGAGTGGTTCAGTCAGTTAAGCAACTGACTCTTGATTTCAGTTCAGGTCATGATCTTGGGGTCCTGGGATCAAGCCCTGCATCAGGCTCTGTGCTCAGTAGAGAGTCTGCTTGAGATTCTCCCTCTCCCTCTGACCCAACCCCTGCTCGCGCTTTCTCTCTCTCTAAAATAAACAAATACATCTTTTTCAAAAAGTGGGTCAATTTAAACCATTTTTAGGTGTATAGTTCACTGGCATTAAGTACCTTTACACTGTTGTGCAACCGTCACCACCATCCATCTCCAGAACATTTGCGATCTTCCCCAACTGAAATCCCATACCCATTAAACAACAATTCTTCATTCTCCCTGCCCTCTCAGCTCCTAGCGACCATTCTACTTTCTGTCTCTATGAATTTGACTCCTCGAGGTACCTCATGGGAATGGAATCATAGAGTATTCATCCTTTTGTCACTGGATTATTTCACTTAACATAATGTCCTCAAGCTTCGTCCTTGTGGTAGCACGTGTCAGGATTTCCTTCCTCTTTAAGGCTGAATAATAATCCATTGAATATATACACATTTCATTTACCCATCCATCCGTCAGTGAACACTTGGGTTGTTTCCACTTTTCATCTATTGTGAGTAACTGCCACGCCATATTTATTGAAATATATGTCTGTTGCATATAATAACATTTCATTTTCCAAGTAATCATATTTATGGTATTTTACATAAGTATCAGTCTGGAACAGATTGGGAAAAAGTTACAATTTACCCGCAGATAGTTCAAGAAGCACCACCGTGGAGTAAAGGCTTCCAAACTTTTCTAAAAACCATAGTAAGAAAACTCTTCGCATCACAGCCTGAGGCACACAAACCTAACTGAAAAGGAAGTTTCACGAGCAATACTCCCCATGAAATGCACTAACATAGTTACAGCTCTCTTCCATTTAAAAAAAAAAAAATCCTGGTTGAATCTATTAAATTGATTTCACAGCCCACTCAAGATCATGAATCTCAGTTAGAAAACCAGCACTCTTGAGAAATCCTTCTACATGTGTGTCAGGAGCCATGTGAAAGAATATTCCCAGTAGCGTTCTTCAGAGAAGTCAAAAAAAAAAAAAAAAAGAACACCATCCAAACATCCATCAATAGGAAGCTAAACAAATAAATTGTGATATATTCACCTAACAGAATATTACAAGGGCCCAATCAATGTTTATTGAATGAATTAATAAACAGCTGTGAAAATGAGCTATTTGGATGAATCTTAGTAATACAATGTGGAGGGGACAAAGCAAATCACAGTCAACTCTATGCTGAATGAAACCATTTTTTAATAAAGATTTTACTGACTTATTGGAGAGAGAGAGAGACAGAGATAGTGACAGAGAGCACGAGTGGGGAGGAAGGGAGAAGGAGACACTCCGCTGAGCAGGGAGCCCAACGTGGGACATGATCCCAGGGCCCTGGGATCATGACCTGAGCTCAAGGCAGACGCTTAACCAACTGAGCCACCCAGGCGCCCTGAATGAAACCATTTTTAAAAAGCTAAATGATTAGGGTGCCTGGGTGGCTCAGTCGGTTAAGCGTCTGCCTTGAGCTCAGGTCATGATCCCAGGGTCCTGGGATAGAGTCCGGTGTTGGTCTCCCTGCTCAGCGGGCAGCCTGCTTCTCCCTCTGCCCCTCCTCCCTGCTCGTGTGCTCTCTCTCTCTCAAATAAATAAAATCTTTTAAAAAAATGAATAATAAAAGCTAAATAAATCAAGCAATACTAAACATTACATTGTTAAGGGGTGCACACCTGTGATGAAACTATCCTAGGAAGCAAGGGAATGATAAACACAAAATTCAGGACAGTGGGTACCTCTGAGGGTAGGGGCAGAGGGCGGGACTGAGGAGGAGCTCACAGGTAGCTAACAGAATTGGAAATGTTATTGCACTGGGCAGTTTACAAATGTTCCTTTTATTATTACGCTTTCTATCTAGATATATACCGTATGAATTCTTTTAGCTATCAAACATCTTTTATAGAAATGAAACTGATGGAACTGGAGGACAGAGAATTCTACCCACATTAAGCAAGTCACCTCTTTCATTGATACAGCAAAATATCAATACAGTGGGCTCCCTGAGCTTCTTCCAAGACTGGGAAAAGAGCTGATAAGCATCTGAGGGTCAGGTTGGAAAGAATGGTATCAAGCAAGGCACTGGCACACATCCCATCCCCTTACAGAGTAACCACTCCAAGTCTCCTACTCATCCAGCAAACTTCCACCCCTTAACCGCTTCCAACAGCCACAGAATGTTCTTCTGCATCCCTAACTGTTGGTTGCTCTTAGAATTCTGGTTTGGGGAGCTCAGGGAGGCAATAGAAGATTTCCGGCACCTCAGAGGTCAGGATCCATGCCTTTACTCGCGCCGGTATTTCTAACTTTCACCCCAGGGTGTGCGCGGAGTCGGTATTGGGTAGTCCTTTCCTGTATAAATGGATGAAGCACTTGGCGAGAGAATAAATAACTATAGCAATTAAACTATACCATTTCTGTCATTGTCAATGTATGAGATCACAGCAGGCTGTCCTGGTTCATTAGCTACCTGTGACATAGTTATGGGCATGGCTTCCCAAAACGTATTTATGAATTGAAGATCTGATAGAGAATGGACAATGAGCTCACAGGATAAAAATGGGGAAGTGGTCGGCTTTAAAACAAAAATGAGAAATCCTGGGGATTTTAAGAGTCTCGTGGCGCATATCAGTAAATTGGTGATTGTCTCTTTTATCCCCACTTTAATTTTTACCATGGTTAATCCCGAAGTGTCATGACCATGTAATAACAGAACACAGGATGTGGAGGCACTGTGTGGGTTTGAATCCCGGTTCCTCCATTTACTGGGTAGGCTTGGACGAATAACGTTGCCTCTCTGTACCTCAGTTTTCTCATCTGTAAAACGGGGATGGTGGTGGTATATATACCTCATAGAGTTGTAATGACCCCAAGTGATTAAGTGAGTTGCTATTTGTGAAGAGAACAGTGCCTGGCATAGAGCAAGCACCCTATTTATTGTTAAAGAAAATTCTTCCCTAGATTGACAACTCTCTTGCCTGCCCACACGCTTCCGATACTCTTGGGGTTAGCTGCCGTGTGGCTACTCAGACTTGCACGTGGAAAGGCGATTTCTGTGGCCTTTTCCATGGAAAGCCTGAAGAGCTTCCACCTTTCTGGAGCTCTGCTCTAGGACCCTTTGCTTAGTGTGCTTGAAGTCCTATTGTCCTTGCTGGTGTCTTCTAAGGATCGCCTCTAACATACACGGCCTCCTGACGTTCTTCCTTTGTGACGCTTACCCTGCTGCCTTTCCTTTCCATCCTCCCTGTCTCTGCTCCCTCTGGCCTCTTCACAGAGCCCTACTTCACAGCCTCCTAGCAGATTTCCCTCCAGTCTCTGTTCCTGCCAGTTCATCCTGGGCCCTGGGGACACGTTAAATCTTCCTCAAACAACCTTTGCACGGCACTCTCACCCACCCGCCTCTGCTCAGACCCTCCCTTCCTTTGCCACTTGACAAAGAGTGTTCAAATTCCTCAGCTTGACTATCAAGACCTCTGTGGTCGCCTTTAGCCCTTTATTGCTCCCTACTTGCCTGCACAAACTTCTTCTTTTTTTTTCAATAGCCAAATCAGTCTATGCATTGCCTCCATACTGGTCATACCTACACCCACCCAGACACCATTTCCTCCACTCCCAAGCCTGGAATGTTCTTCCCATGACTTCAAGGTCTGGGAAAGACACTCTGAGAAGTGAGAGAAAGGCACCAAAATGGAGACTGGGGAATATCAAAAGCAGATTT